ATGTGTATTTATTTGTTCAACTTTATACAAGTTTAAGTGTTTATTTGAGTACACTCAAAGTTAAAGGTTATAAATGCAATTCAAAATCAAGTTAAAGGATATTTTTATGTATTATGCATAATAAATTTCATGTTAAACCACATGGCTAAAGACACTTGGATAAAAATACCACTCTCTACCATTAATAGTTTGGTCCAAAAACATTTAGGAAGAGCAAAGTGTACTAAAATGTTCTATTAGCAACAAATATAGGTTAATTATATTTACCTTTATTTTAAATTAAATGTTAATTTCATTCAAAATATATATATATATATATATATATAGTATAATTTCATCAATTAATTCTGACGAGGATATTGTGTACAAAGATTTTACTATCTATTTTAAGAGATGTGAGATTTGGATTTGAACTATCGAGTGCATGAACTACTATTTTATTTCAATGTATATGACACTTTTTTATTTTTCGAAAGTCAAACAATTTCAGTTTTGACCTAGAATATGCTTATGAAATTTTCATTTTTTTTAAAAAAAATGAAATTTATATATTGTAAACTACGTAAAACTAAAAAGTACTATTAAATGAAAATAATTGACAATTTAAAAGATATATATAAAAAACTTATGGCAAAAATAGATTTGTTTGAACTTAAAACTTCAAAATATATCACATAAAAAGTATATCAACTATTAGTCAAAATACATATAAATTATCAATTACTCATCTTCCCTACCTAAACAATGATGCAATTCAGATAAGAAATGAGAAAATGGATAGTTAGAAATGTATTTTAATAAATAGTTATAGGTAAGAAATTCCACCTAAACAATGATAGAGAACAACGAATAATTAAGATATTTCTAATAAATAATAGATGATAATTCAAATAAAAAATTCGTACATTACTGAGTTCATGTACAAAAATATTCAAATAAATAAATGAAACATCACTAGCACGTAGAAAGAGAAAAAAAAGGATAAATATAGCCTGAACTAATGTAAATGATATGCAGATATCTTTCGTCAAACTTTAAAGACATGTCGTCTAAAAATTAGAGTATATATATATCCTTTATAATAACATAAATACACGTGTGATAATTTTATCCACTGATTCAATGACATCGTATGGATAAATAAGATTGCATTTTTGAACTATAGAAACACGATAACAAAGGATATTGCATATCGATAGTTAGTCGATAGTTTAGGTATAATTGCCTTTTTGTTTGTTCCTTGTAGAAGGCAGTGGAAACTAGAAAGTGGATAAAACTCACTTCCCCTGTTTTAGAGCACCAAAATTCTCTTTAACAATGGCTTCTTCATCATCATACAAAAAATTCGAGACGCGAAAACGAGATCCAGATCCAAAATCCGCTGTTCTATTGGTGATTGATATGCAGAACTACTTCTACTCCATGGGTAAACCGATTCTACCAGCAATCAAAACCACAATCGATCTCTGCCGGCGGAATTCCGTGCCGGTGATATTCACGCGCCACTGTCATAAGTCACCGGACGATTACGGCATGATGTACGAGTGGTGGAACGGTGATATTATCAGAGATGGAACCGTTGAAGCTGAACTTATACCGGAGTTAGATCGGAGAGACGGTGATTTGGTGGTCGAAAAACACACTTACAGTGCCTTCAGAGGTACTTTTTTTTTTTTTCAGTTACAGTCATTTTTTTGTGAAATTTTAGCTTGTTTTAGCTAAGAGTTGTCAAAAGCATAGTTAAACTATTACATTTTGTGAATTTCATTGGCATAAAATATGAATGTAGTCCTCCAACTTTGAGCTTTGATGAGTAAGACGTTTGAACTTGTATAATATTGAACAAATAGATATATACATCCTACTACGCTCGTCCTAGATACGTGTATCCTAGAGTGTAATTCACGTGAAATACACTCGTCTTACATGGAAATTGATTTGTATTATGTCGTACCACATGTGTCTATTTATTCAATTTTATATAAGTTTTTTAGTGTCTACCTGTGCGCATAGAAAGTTATGGAACGTAGATGCTAACTGAGGTCAAGATAAATGACATGCTTATGTATTATGCCAATCTGAGATCTCAACTAGATATTGTTCTATTTAAAGTGAAAGGTTTAAAAACACACATGAAGTATTTGTTTTTTTCGAGTTTCATTAGTCTTATATATGAACTATCACCAAATGTTTATCAAAACACATTTTAACTACAAGTTGTTCTCTTTTTTCATACTTAAAATATCACTATTGTTCAGGTAGGACAAGGAACAACAAATAGTTGAGGTCTGTTTTGGTAAATATTTGGTGATACTTCAGGTAGGAAAAGTGAAAACAAATAGTTTAAGTAGGAAAATCGAATTATTGGGATATTTCAGGTGTGTTTTTGACCCTTCACTCTTCTATTTATCTACTTAAATTTCTTTTGTATTAAACACACTTAGATAATGAGTTGAGTTACATGCGCGTGTTGTTTTATGGAAATAATATTTGGCCAACTCAACATCCACGCGTCTTTTAAAACAAAGAGCGACAACTTAGGTAGATAAAGAGAACAATGAATAGTTGACGTAACTCACGAGAAAATTGATAGTTAATGTGTGTTATTGACCATTTACTCTTTTAGCAAATAATCTTATGGACCTTTTAAACTACCATCTAAGGATATTTTTTTGAGTAAACTGAATACAAGTCTCAATCTTATATTTTGTAAGTTATTGTACATATTAGATCACAATCTAATGTTTTGTATGTAAAGTTATTCAAGATACGAGCAAATATTAGACTTGAATTTAACCTTATCTACTGAAAAGGTAATTTTATAAGGACTATATTTGCATACCTTTGCAGATACAAACTTAGAGGAGAAACTGTTGGAAATGGGGATAAAGGAGGTAATAGTGACTGGAGTAATGACCAATGTGTGCTGTGAGACCACAGCCAGAGAGGCATTTATTAGAGGGTTCAGAGTCTTCTTTTCCACAGATGCAACTGCAACTTCCTCAGCAGAACTGCATGATGCTACATTGAAGAACTTAGCTTATGGTTTCACTTATTTGGTTGATTGCAAAAGGATTCAAGCTGCCTTTCTCAATTCCCCGAGCCCTCAAGAGTTGAGGTATAATAATCTATCTTGCTTGGTTTCTTCAAAAATTTCGATAAGTGCGTGTTGGATCCTGAACACTCAGGAGTAGGGTACTAAACCTGTGTGGCTCCGACACTTGAAAAAATATTGATAGGTGCATGTTGGATCCTTAGTACTTGATAGTTAAGGTACAATATTTATGTTGCTTGAACTTTTTTTTAAAAAATGTCGATATGCGAGTGTTGGATCCTGCATACTCAGGGGTTAAGTACACCAACAACAATATATGTTGCTCAAACTCTTCAAAAAATGTTTATAGGTGTGTTTTGGATCCTTAGCACTCGAGAGTCGGGTACAACGACCTGTGCTGCTTTGTCTCTAAAAAATTGTTGATAGTTGTGGGTTTGGATCCTGAGCACTCGAGAGTTAAGGTACAACGATCTATGTTGCTCGAACTTTTTAAAAAATGTCGATATGCGAGTGTTGGATCCTGAGAACTCAGGAATCAAGTACAACAACATATGTTGCTCAAATTCTTCAAAAAATGTTTATAGGTGGGAATTGGATCCTGAGCACTCAAGAGTCTGGTAAAACGGCCTATGCTTCCTTTAAAAGTAGTGTATTTTTTAGAGATCTGTCATGGGTTGACAATATTTTGGTGAGTATGAGCGACATAGATGACAACTATGACGAAATATTAGTCATGTCATCCCAATTTATGTGATGCACTTTGACTACGAACATTGTTTTTTTAAAAAAACATTTGAGACTTGTGGTCTAAGTTCGTTTAGACATTAGTTTTTTCGCTTCCATTTTGTTAAAAAAATATCTCAAAACATGAATAACGCTTTAGGTTACACTGTTGCTTCGTGCCTTGTCACGGAAAGTAAATAAATAAGTGATAAGTTTTTTGTCGTAGCTAATATTTCCGTGGTTAAAGATCGTCTTTGTTTTAGTGTAGTAGTACTAACGATGAGGTTTCATGGTGTATGCAATTTGCAGGTAATATTGTAGCGACGGATGAACTATGGAGAAATACTGTAGTGAGTAAATATTTGAGAATAAGCATATAGATGTAAGATAAAATGAATACATGACAAGATGTACCTTCTCATGTCAAAGGTGAGTACTTATCTGTATCGAGTGTTTATATCGAAATAAAGATATGTTTACGATACGTAAATCTCATATATGTCTATAGGATGGTTTTATATACATTATTTTCCACATTATATGTTTTGGAAATTCAATTATTTTCACTATATTTCTATAGGCTGATTTTATGTAAATTATTTTCCATAAAATATGTTTTGGAAAGTTTGTCGAAACTCTCTCTTCTCTCTAAATTCCACTTGTGAAATTATACGGAGTAGGTGGTGGCTATTGTTTTAACCTTTCAAACAATAAAAAAAGGTGACATCAATTGAGAGTATCATTTATTAAAGGGAAACTTACGTAAATATATTAAAATAAAAAATATTTACCATTTATAGTAATAATATCTTTTTTTTCACTTGATTTTTTTAAATTCATTTATAATGCAAGTTTAATACATATTACAAAGAACAATTTATCATTCATATATAATACAAGTCATAATGATGGATAATATTTATCACATATTTTAATAAATTTATAATCCAGTGTGTTAATATTTTCCTTTCGAGTTTCTAAGAACGCATCCGTAGCGTATGGGGATTTGAACCAATCACTCCACAAAGAAGTTCAGCGTCCAAACCAGCTAACCCAACAGGCTTGTGTCTTTTGGTGCCTAATAAAATATGTGTATATATACACATAATTTTTAGTAAATTAACGGATGCACGTGCACCAGTAGTGATACATGTGGGCCCGCCCCTAGTTCAAACTCCCATCAACAGTTATTGCAGTAGCACAGAAATTAGAAACATGCAACTGCAGGGGAAAATGAAATCTTATATTACATTTCTGTTACTTCAAGAAGTCAAAGTTATACATTGATTGAACTGTATGAAGTTGACGATAATAGGGTTATATCAGTGCGATGAAGGTAAAGAGCGCCAGCTATTGACAAGAAGCATAGCGTGATCTCGAGAAAAAGTCGACATCTGTTGAAGTATAACATTTTTCACGGGATGAGCTGCAGCTTCACCAGCGCGAGCAGCAAGTTCCAGATATACCACAGCTTGCATCCTATCCCCATCCTGTTCAAGATGATCGCGAGTGGTTATGAAATCGACTTCAAGCCTAACTACAGAGTTATGAAGATGGAATGAATGGGATATAAAGAAGTAAAAGTGGAAACAGATTGTCTACTCGCGATCCAGGTATCATCGTTGGGTTCTTACTGAAGACCGCAAACTTTAGCTAGACACTAGCAAGGCTTCGATTGTTCATATTTGGAGAGAGGCAAACAACTCCGCTGACTTCCTAGAAAATGAAGGTCACAAACATATAGGAGAGATTTGATAACCCGGGAAGTTGTTGGAAATGGAGTCTCTTCTCCTAACAGGTTCAATCCAAGTAAGTTTATGAAAGATACTAATTAGTTAATTTAGTCTTTTCAAATGTCCCCGAAAAAAAGGAACAAGGTGAGCACGAGTGGTTAAAAGATCACAAGATACAAACAAATAACGACTATGCTTCAGTCCTAGATAAGTTGTGTTCACTGGCTACTAGGGAAAATATTACATGTTCACTGGCTACTAGGGAAAAAAAAGGAATGAGATTTGGGTTTTATTCCGCGTTTATACTTCATTTATGAGGAAATTGAACTAGAAAAGGAGTGGAGGAGCAATTTAGGCACTACTTACAGAATACAGACTCAACCCATTCTCAAGCTGGGCTTTGCTATGACCTCGATCAGCTGCTCTCTTCATCCATTTTCTTGATAATTCATGAGACTGCATTAAACCTTCTCCAACCGAGTAGCATAATGCTGTGTTATACATAGCGCGGACATATCCACCTTCTGCTGCCCTCAAGTACCACTTTGCCTATGCAATTAAGAGGAAACCTTTTAAGTATAGTTCTCGTTAGGCATATTTCAGTAATATAAACAGACAGTTAACTTAAATGAGATACACTTTTCATACCGTTTCCTGGAGATTTCTCTTCGGACCATGACCTTTATGTAAAGTAAGTGCAAGCTGGTATTGAGCACGAACATGACCAGAAACGGAAGCTTTATAAAGCCATTTAACAGCTTCCTTGGGGTCCATAGGATTCACTACATAAGAAGATAGAGTCAGTGTTTTGGACGTAAAGGCAACAAGGGTCTGTGGAAGGCAACATAAGACCGTCTGAACCCTAAAGCCTATATTGCCTCTTAACACAGCTGAATTCATAGGCCTAGACTTAATTTAATGAATATAACTCAGGGATCATAGATCATGAGTCCAGAACATATGATACTATCAACACTGCAAAGCTAGTTCTTTCACTAAGTAGACAACTCCAACAACAGACATTCATCCAATCCAAAGTAAACGAAGGAAGTACCTAGCACATAATCCGCACCAATACATGTGCTAGTACGAGTTAGCATAGACTTAATCAATTAGTTGAGGTGAGTGCAACCTAGCCCGACACTATAGTTGGCCTTGACAGTGTAGTGATTCTATCCATCTCCCTACGGTTTCTTTTGCTAGTATGAGTTAGCATGGACTTAATCAAATAGTCAAGGTACGTGCAACCTAGCCCGACACCATAGTTGGCCATGATTATGTAGTAATTCCACCCTAAAAAGCGAAAAGCAGTAACAATTACTAGTTAACCCAAGCTGTTGTGGTTCCATTTTCGAGCCTGTTTTCGATTCTTCCAACCTTGAATCTAGATTTCCATGTATAATTTAGATATTGAGCATCAAAGTTTATGTTTTTACGGAAAAAATAAATAATCCAACAATCTGAATACCTTGCAATAGAGAAATCCCCAAATTGCACTGACCAGCAGGGTCACCAAGCTCAGCAGCTTTTCTGTACAAACTAATCCCTTCTTCTCTTTTCCCCAACTCCCAATAAAGTAACCCAGCATCCACCATAGCTAGTGTAGACCCACGAGCAGCTCCTTTAAGGAAAGAATCAAGGGCTTTACTCAAATTACGCTTAACCCCACCTCTTCCATGCTTAAATCTCTTACCCCATCTGAGAAAAACCATAGATTCTCTTAAAGGTCGAAGTGCCTCGCACCAAGACCTGCATACTAGAGAAGATGCCCGTACATTCGACAGCGAAAACCTAGCAGCAATTTTCAAGATAATATCGTAGGGTAGCTGAGAAAAGTCTTGATTGTAGCAGTACTGATTACTACTACTACTACTACTGCAACAAGAATTTGATGATGATGGAGGAGTTGTTGTATTGATCTTTTTGGAGTGATCGGAAAAGGGGTTTTCCGATGGACGATTTTGAAGATGGGTCTGTTTTCTGATGAAAGGGAAAGCGGTGAAACGACGAAGGCCGTCGGAACTGGACTTGGTCGCCGGCCATGTTTTCTGATTCATGCCGGTGGAAGGAAGGAGCAAGGAAGAGAGAAAAATCAGAGCACTCGAAATTTGTTTAGACGAGTTATGTATATATTAAATTTCGTTTATTTATAATTAATGTTGTTTAAAAAGGTTTTTCGGTTATAGTCTTTTTTAAACGGAAAAAGGATAAATTTATCTATAAATAATAATAAATGATATATAAATATCTCCGTCGTACTATTGAGATAATGGTGATCCTACCGTTTAAAAAATAGAGTATATGCAATTAATCTAAAGGAAGACTAAATAGGGACACATGACACAATTTTATCCGTTGATAAATGTCAAATCGATGGATAAGATTGTGACACGTGTATGTCTATTAGAATAAAAGGGTATATCTGCTTTAGTTTTTGGACAGTAGGAATAACAATGTCCGAAAAATATGATGGAGAATATTTACATATCATTACGATAGTTTGAGGGTATATTTGTCATTTTTCTCTTGTTAAAAAAAAACTATGAAGTTGATTAAAAAAGGGATTTAATATTTTCAAAAGACAAATAATACAATGAAAATTATTCTTCACACAAGTTTTTAATATTAGAAATATATATACATTGTATTTCAAATATATGTGAATCACATCGTATTGATATATTCTGAAGTTTAGATAATTAGGAAAAGAAGTAAACGAGAGAGACAATTACATGTGAATTTATTTGGACAGTGTAAAACTATACTAATATATCCAGTAACATTCCACAATTAGTACCTAAGGAGGATAGTACTGGCAAAGCACACACTTAATCGAGAGTTCAACATTTAATATATATACATAAAAATGTTTTAATCATGTATAAATAATTTAATTTTTCACCGAAGAGAATTCAGATAAACCCCTTGATCATAAGGTGGCTCCGCCACCGGAGGGTAGAGGGTATGTGTACACCCTCTCTAGACCCTAGTTGTGGAATTTCTAGTTGTTATTGTACACGATATTTAAATGGATTTACATGACGACTCTCTTGCTCGTTTCTCTTCAATGTCAGCTTGCCTCTCTTCCTAAGCATCTATATTTCGAAACGTATCTCTTCTTTCTTGCTTTGCTTCTCTCTCTAAGTATTTATTTTTCAAAATGTATCTAGAGTATATCTAATTTGATTAACAAGTATCTAAGATATATACACTATCTCAATCGTCTCACTCCTATCTAGCTCCTCTTTTCTCTTTTCTCGTACGCATCTCTCCAAATTTCAACGTATCTAATGGCAAAAATTATGTATATAACTTAAAGTCTGATAGAAAATTATCAATTAGTGTAATACTATGATATTCTTTCAAACTATAGGAAAAATTAATAAATATAGCAAAAACATTTATGTAATTAAATAGTTTTTTTCCCCATAATAGCATTGATCTGAAGTGATAAAAATAAAGCTAAGTGAGTTATATATATAAACTTTAAAAGGCTCGTTTGGTAAAAGAGCTATAACTAATTTTTGAAATTAATTTAAGATAAATTCATTTCATGTTTGATTAAAAAAAATAGTATATTTTAAAATTATATTGTTATTTTTCTCTTATATAAAAAATAAAATAACTATACTCGAAATAATTAATCACTAAATAACTCATTAAATATACTAGGAAGGAGATTAAAAAAAAGAAGTATATACTGGATCCCTCTATTTTAACTTATTATATGACATTTTTATTTTTCGAAAGCCAAACGATTTAAATTTAATTAAAAAATGCGCATGAAACCTTCAAAATTTTGAAATGCAATTTTTATATTTATAAATTATGTGAAAAATATTATAAGCCACAGTTATTAACAATTCAAAATAAATGAAAAATTTACGATAAAAATAAACTTATTTAAATCTTCAAAATAACTAAAAAATTTACGATAAAAATAAACTTATTTAAATCTCATAATTCAAAACTGTAACATAAATTGATAGAGGAAATTACAAGCAGAATGAAGACAATAGAGGAAGCTTCCATATATATAAAGCAAATTTAACCATATTATTGTGGGAAATATTATTTGATGTGGATATTTGTTAAAAAGAACAAAAAATAAAAAAATTATTAACTTTCTTGGTTCAATTGTTGAGAGATTTAAAAGAATATATTTATTTTTAGAAGTGTTTTTTTTAAATGATAAATTTGTCAAGCTTCCCAAAGAAAATAAATATTTTCTAAAAATATAGAAACAATTCTAAAAACCTATAATGTTGTTACTCGAACTTCTAAAATTAATTAGTCAAACACAAATTATTTCTCGTCAAAATTATTTTTTTCCAAAAAGATAGTTCTGACAAGAAAAAAAATATTGCCAAAAAAACCAAAAAAAACTAAAAAAAGAAAGAAAACATTTTAAGGTACTTTAATTTTAAACACTTGACACACTAGTTATTGTTCAATTTTGAGAGAGAATTCATCAACAAAATGGAAAACAAAGATTGAAATCGTAATTTTTCTTCATCTACATCATCGAATAGCGCGCCACGTGCGCTATTCATACTGCTCGATGAATTCATCATCGCGCTATTCATATCGCGCCATGAATTCATCGTTGAACTTTTTGAAACTCGCCATTATCGAAGGCATTTCTTCTTCAGCTGGCAAAATAGTTGTCCTTAGATGGAACACCCTACATAGAGAAACCATCAACCACTCTTCAATAATTGTAACAAACGTTTAGCGTAACAGGAAATGATCTCCTATAACCACTTAGAATAATAAAAATCGCGTAAACTAACCATTTTTTGGCCATGTCTTGGTACAATAGACACCGGCATAACGTTACATGACAGTGTCATGGTGTTACACCGCGTGGAATTTGCAACTCCTCGACAATGTCTATTTTTCAATTACAAGGACGAAAAGTAGCTACATGTGAACTAATTGTAACAAGGGTAGCGTTAACAGGAAATGATCTCCTATAACCAGTTAGGATGATAACGTGTCAACTAACCACTTTTTGGCCATGTCTTAGTACAATAGACACCGACATAACGTTACATGACAATGTCATGGTGTTACACCGCGTGGAGTTGCAAACTCCACGACAATGTCTATTTTTCAATTACAAGGACCGAAAAGTAGCTATATGTGAACTAATTGTAACAACGGGTAACGTTAACAGGAAATGATCTCCTATAACCAGTTACAATAATAAAAATCGTGTCAACTAACCACTTTTTGGCCATGTCTTAGTACAATAGACACCGGCATAACGTTACATGACAGTGTCATGGTGTTACACCGCGTGGAATTTACAACGCCACGATAATGTCTATTTTCGAATTATAAGGACGGAAAAGTAGCTATGTGCGAATTTAATCGTTATATTTGAGATGAAAAGAGTCGAAAGACCCTAGGATTGAACTCACTTACCCTTCTTTTTGGCCAAAACCCGAACCCGGGACAGTAGAGATGCCGGTTGCTTCCAACAACTTGAGACAATAGAAAACATCAGGAGCTTTCTCGAGCTTCTTTGCAGCGTCTATCGCTCGAGGAGGCAATTGAATTTGCGGGAAGGAATACATGGCACCTGTTATAAACAATCAATTTCCACGCGAATGTCAATAATTGGTCGCGTTTCAACGTCTAATAGAATACGAAAACATGAGAAATGACTCGCCTTCTGTGAAATTACAAACAACATTTTTGCAGCTGTTGAACCCGTCAGTCATTATATGCGCCCTCCGTCTTAGTGACTCAAGGATGCCTTTGCTGCAAAAAGCATCAACTACTAATTGTCATGAAATTCATAAAAAAAAATTCGACAAAATCATTAAACGAGTAGAAGATGTCTGTATTCACGAAGTTAACGACACAAATTTCAACATCAATATATACAACGGTACTCAAAATTCCTACGTTGTTTAGATTGTCCAAAATTGTTACCTTACCCGTATCAAATCCTCTAAAATGCCCTACTTTTAGATCATCTGACACGCACACATTGGCATTTTCAAGAGTCGGAGCAATATAAGTTCAAAACCGAGTGAAAAGAATTGAGACTTTCTACTCTAATTCCGACAATTCCACAGATGAAGTTCAAGTATTTAATGTAAGCAGAGATGTCAGCTGTAATTAGTACCTTTCTCTAGCAAATTGCTCGTACGAGATATCTCCGGGCTTAGGTGGATTCGCCAGTAACCCCAGCTGTTGAAACGAGAAAGAGTCTTGTCAGCACAGGCTTATGATTTAACAGAATAAGCTGGCAACAATTTTTAGGTAACATAAAAATAAGGTAAAATTCGAGACGTCGGACTCTATAACACAATTTTCTAAGATTTCCATCCTGGAAGGATAAATCTACGAGGGGATGAACGAAAATTACTCACAAATATTTGTGCAGGTACATTTGGACTGAGCGATATCGAAGCAACCTTGTATATCTCTTCAACCGACTGCAACATCAAATCAGAGAAAGACCACGTCTCAGTAATACATCGATTATGCTTTGGGAAATAACACAACCCTTGAATGTTTTATAACATAGATCATTTTGGAATTAACTCAAATTGATCGAAAAAATTCTTTTCAAATTTAACTCTAAGTTCATTTCTATATACTAGGATAGCATGTTGCTTGGACACTCCAAGAATGTTGCCACAATCCCGTCGTAACCTAAAAAATGCGACACTTTTTAGAGGATCCGACATGAACTCGGCGTGGAGGGATCAGCACTTTAGCAAGAAGCAAGATTATTTCGAGTGAACTTCAATTACTGTCATTCGAATTGGGGACGGAGATACAAACCTTGGGAGGAATGTTGGTCATCTCAAAGTATCCACCACGCTGTCCACATTCGCCCCAATAACCTTTGGAGACCGTATGAAATGAAACTAGCTGAAGCTCCTTGCTTACGGGTGGACCCATATCGAATAAAACCTACGAATTTTGGTGAACATGGACGTTATTCAAGATACAATATTATATTTAAGGGTTGACAAATTCTTAAAGTGCAAACTATATTTGTATTACCTTTCGTGCACTTATGAAGGGATGCTCATCTTGATAAATATTTTGTTGATAAACTTCGTCTCCAAGTAATACCAAATTTTCTTCGTAACAGAATTG